TCTCTGAATCCAGAAAGCCACCGCTGCAGCCTGGGGGAGGTTGGGGGGGGTGGGGGGTCACGCCTGGCCTACCACGTGCTCAAACACCCTCATTTGCTGCACTCACAGGCAGCAGCCTTACCTTTGACTCCTTTATGTAAGGGAGTTTTCTCTAGTTAAAAAGAAAACACACACACACACACACACACACACACACACACACCCCACCTCTCCCCCTCCCCCCCAATGTCTCATGCACACTCGCACTCTTTTTCTTGTACCATTACTGCTAAGTAGATAATCGCTTAGGACACCATAGTGTGTCTCTACCTGCACTGAAGATGCCACCCCTGCCACAGGCAAAGTTGTTCCCTTCACATGTCAACACAACTCATTTTAGCCTAGTTAAATCTGGCAGACTTTTAGCCTAAGAGAAGTGGCTTGCTGCTATTCCTGTCAGTGAGGCTCCATGTCACGCTGCTTGCTTAATGACATTCGCTTTTCTTAGAGTTCATCTTCCTTTCACACCCTTAACAGCAGCCTTTTACCCCGCGCTTCCCTACTTGGAAAAGCAGTATCGTGTGCTATTGCTCCAACTTCACCAAAAAAAAAAAAAAAAAAAAAAAAAGCAGCTCCAGATGGAGGTGGCAGGAGCCAGTGCTCCCACTGGCTTCCAGTGCCGGAGAGCGGTATTGCAGGGGGTGTGGGGCAGGATCTACCCTGATGCTGGGTGCAGCTGGAGGCAGCCCTATGACGACTCTGAATTACACCTCCCAAACCAACTTCCAGATAGCCTGACCTGGCCCCTCATGTGTTAGCTCCCAATTTGCATTTCCCGAGGGGGGAGACAAGCTCAGGCCAGGCCTGCTGCATGGCGGCTGCCCTCGGTCTTTCCGAGAACTGGAACACTGGGCTTCTTCGCTCTGTCCTGACACTGCAAGTGGGTTAGAAGCCACCAGACCAAAGAGTACGCGATCTGATACAAAGAGTCTCTAGGTGTTTGTGTTTTGTATTGTGACAATGCAGACGGAAAGGAAAGTCCTGTGCAGTCTCTTCAAAGTACTTTTTCCAGGGCTGGTTCAGAGGGAGAGGAGAAAGGTTTTTGTTGTTGTTGCAGGGTTTTTTTTGTTTGTTTTGTTTTCTGGTGTTCAGGCTGCGCTGAGGCGGTGTTGTACCAGCATGGGTGCAGTATGCAAGTAGATATATCACTGAGTAGGTATGTGGCCATATATACATAAAGACCAGCTATTAGACTCTCTCTCCCTCTTACTTCTTACATCCGCTTCTGCCTCACCTTCCTCCACCCCCACAGCCCACCTACCCTCCCATGCCAATTTACATGCAAACCAGGCCAGTTACATCCATTTGCATCATCTTGATTCCTCTGTCTTGGCTAAAAGCTGTCCCGCTCCACCATCTGGTCAGCAGTGCAGCTGGCTCGTGGCAACACCTCCCTATCCCCCTCGGGACACCCGCCTCCCTCCCCACTCTGCTCTTCTGCAGCCACATGGTTCGCCTCCTCGCTGGCTATTGCTACAGCATCATCAGTGCTGTGGGCCGGCTGGTGGTTGCCACTGCTGTGCTCCTCAGCTTCCTGTACGTCAGATTCGGCTTCCTCGGTGTCACTCCCGCCACCCGCTGAGGGGGACTTCTCCGGGGGAGGTGCCTTCTTCTTACCCCTGTTAAGGCAGCAGTAAGAGGCCATGGCCAGAAAGAGAGCCGAGAGCACCACCTCAGAGCCTGCCAGGTAGAAGATCACCTCGTAGTTCTTGAGAGCATCGACCAAGCGGCCTGATGGAAGGGCAAGAAACAAGCCAGTTAGCCTGAGCACTCCTGCACGGACACCCCAGCACACCTCCAGCACTTGTGTCTGGCTGAGGAACCATTTCTCAAGGGAAGAGCAGGAAGCCTGAATATGTAAAATAATCCTAGGCAAGGATCTGGACAACTGAAAGGTATTCTGTGCCACCAGGAAAGTACTGTAAAAGAGCGTGAGTTTGGTGTTTTGCCTTTGTTCTGGCAGGGTTAAATCTTTGTGACACACCGATGTCATGTCATTGTGATATGGCAGGCCATATTCTCACTGACCTGGGACCAGCCTCCAAGGACTTGGCTTTTCCAGTCTTAGAAAAGAAAGAAAAGGTGAAAAGGCATTGCTATTTCTTAATCTATCATGGGGAGAAAACATTCAGAGGAGGAGAAGCAGCAGCCCTTTGGCACAGAAATCATCAGGTATGGACTGGGGCCTGAATGCACTGAGGTTGGCAAAGGCATGCAGGTTCCCCAGAGCCTGAACGACCACCCTGGTGCAGCCGGCACAGCACCCACTGAGCTGGGACAGGGCTGTGATGAAGAGATGCTTCTGCCCAGGCCCGTGCTCTCCTGACTTTGCATGTGACCTCTGGTGCCTTCTGTGCGATGGTGTGAGGCGCAAGCACAGCCTCGGGGCACGCTGAGCTGCCTCCCGGGGTGGTCATGAGAGACACGCAGCGAATTCCTCAGCGGGTGAATGCGTCCCTGTTCACCCAAGCTGTGCAGAGCCAAAAGCGTGTGTGTGTGTGTGTGTGTGCGTGCGTGCGTGCGTGTGTGTGGCTTATCCTACACCAAACTTCCTCAGCCCCCTCAACCCTGCAGAGAGAGAGCAGCAAAGGAGGATTACACCAAACAAAGCGACATTGTTCAACCCCTTCCTCCAGACAAGCGCTGCTCCCCCCAAGTCCAAGCTGCTGGGTTTGCCAGCAAGCCCAAGCTCCCTGTGCTAGCAGGGTCCTGCAGTAGCTGGCTGCCCTGGAGCGACGGTGGGAGTCACGAATTGGCCCTCCTGGCCTCTGCTCTGGCCAGCTTAGGTGACATTGCACCGTCTGTGTCCTGTTTTTCGCTTACACACCACCAAGGCACAGCTGAACTGAGGCAGGAGAGCTAAGGGATATTGTCCTCAAATTGCCCAGGGTGATGCGCTCAGTGCCATGTACAGCATTGGGGCTATGAAGATATGGGTGCTATCCACCTCTGCTCTGTGTGTCCTGGCTTCACTGCCTCAGTCTTCAATCCCCCTTCCTCCTCTCTTGTGAAGTGCCCTGGCCCAGAAAAATTTATCTCCAAACACTGAGTCATCTTTTATGTCCTGTCCCGTACAAAACACCAGCTGGCCTTATGTGAAAAATAGTGCATGCCAAGCACAGGCCTGCATGTAAAAACTCATCCACGTCTTTCAGTTCTTCTTTCCCTTTCCTTTCTCTTTCAGTAACTCCCAGGTCCTGTTCTTGGAAGGAGCTGGCCCACTGCCACACAGGACACAATATTTGATAAACACCTTTTCTGCTTCCTAGTATCTTTTTGCTTTCTCATCAGTCATCTGACGAAGAGCTGTGGACTCCAGGTCATGGGAGCAAGGCAGCATTAAATCCACTTCCCCCTGCCACAGCCTCTCTGCAGTTACCTCCAAGTCACCAATTTCTGGAGCCCCCCCACCCCCCACTACCTCTGGCCTGTGACTTTTACCTACCCTGCAGATGACAAGATGGGACGGGAATTACTGCTATCATCATCATCAAGAGAGTCTTCTCCTTGTTACAGCTTTTAACCTGAGAGCTGGGTGGAGTTGCTAAGGGTAATATATGCTGGGTTTGGGGGGGGAGGGGGGGCTCATTCACACAGAGGTTTTCACTGATGGGCTTTAACCCACGTGTCGCAGCGGAAGGAAGGGAGTGCAGGAAGCAATGGATCAATCCCTGCCTGGGGATTTGCTCATAGTCTGTCACCGACCCTTCCTAGCAAATCACGCATTCAGGGAACTGTGCTTCTTCATTTGGAAGAGGTCCTCTGGCGTGATTTGACTTCAACAGACCTGATCAGACAGTTAACAGGAACCTACATCAGCCTCTTGGGTGAAGGCTTTCTCTCCACTGAACAACCTATTAACAGGCTGCTTGTGGGGCATGGACCTTAACAGGGACTCTGGCCTAGCCCAGGTTGGCTAAGAAGCCATGAGTTTCCATGAGGAAAAAAAAAAAAAAAAAGGGACAGCAAATGCCTGAGGTGGCTCTACAGACTATTTTGGCAAGCTTGATCACCACAAACATGCCTGTGCCTTGGGGCTGGAGTCAACACAAATTACATTCATTATTCACAGCATCAGTCAAAAGGCCATAGACACCAAGGAGAACTTGAAATTTCCCGGTCTTGTCCCTCAAAGGTTTGCCTGCAGCATATGCCTGACCCTGCCTATAACACAGTTTGATACAACATTCACAAGCAAAGTCAGAGACCTGGATCCCAGCACAAAATAGAAGTGCCTTCCAAGTTAGGACTAAGGGACACTGGAAGTTATGCCACTCTGGATAGCTCTGTATGCCTGTCATTGCTCAGGTCTCTGAGTGAAGCTGAGAGAAAAATATCACTCCTCATCTTCTGCCCCTGCTCAGAATCAAGTGTTGTGGTGCATGGAGTGAGACTGTGACTTTTCACTTCCAATTTCATTTTCCAGAGGAAATTTGAAATTGAGAAACAGGCTCTTTATTCAAGCACTGTGCCTATGCCTAATACCTACAATACAATGGAACGGCAGCCAAATTAATCACCTGTGTTTTGCAGCAAGAGACCTACCTGCGGAGGGCGGACCAATGAGCACTGCAACAGCTTCAATAAGTAGGACCAACCCAATGGCGCTGGAGAACTTCTGGGAGCCAACAATGGCCATGAGCACTTCGAACTGCAGTGCCCCCACCATGCCATAAGAGATGCCGAAAAAGACACAGAAGATGACGAGCCCTGTGTAATTGCTAGCCCTGGCACTGCAGATGTCTGTCAAGCCATTGAAAAGCATAGCAAAGCTGAACAAGTAGGCCACATGAGGGCGGACCCACTTCAATCCTGCCACCATGCCACAGGCCGGACGGGCAAAGATGTCTATGAAACCAATGATGGAAAGCAAGAATGCAGCCTCTGTATCTGGTACTCCCGTGTCCTTGGCATAGTTGACCAGCAATATGGGAGGCACAAAGAGACCCAAGACCAGGATGAACTTCGAGATGGTGTAAATAACAAACCCCCGGTTGGAAAAGATGCTAAAATCTAGCAGCTTCTTTCCTTTCTTGGACTTCTTCTTGGCTTTCTTGGCTTTCTTGGTTCCATCGGTGGTGCTGATGCCCTCCTCTGACTTCCCTCCCATAGGCAGCATCTCCTTGGCTTCGTATTTGTCCTGGACCTTCTCCATCTTCCGCTTCATGCCCATCTCCAGGGGTCTCATGACTGCCCCACAGGTGCAGCAGTTAAGCAGCAGGCCTCCCATGATGAGGAACCCTCCTCGCCAACCAAATTTCTCCAGCAGCACTTGCCCCAGTGGAGAGAGGCAGGAGAGAAAGACAGGGCTCCCAGCAGCAGCCAGTCCATTGGCAAGAGGCCGACGTTTGTCAAAGTAGGTGCCCAGCATGATCAGGGAGGGCTGGAAGTTCAACGCCATACCCAGACCTATATGGGAAGGAGAGCCGGGAGAGAGACAGGAAGTGCAAGGACAGGAGACATGTGCATTGCAACAAGCTGAAACCTCCCCTGAAACTGTTCTAGCCCAGAAGTCCCATTGTGGGATTCATGTGTTCCTCACAAGCCTCTTCTCCTTCACCTTGTTGGGTTGCCCCCAGAGAAGATGGGCTAACAGCCTACCTGAACTGTATTTGAATCTAATAGCTGTGGCCATGTTTAGGCAGGACCTGTGCCTTACCTTTGCCTCCCTTCCCTGCCACTATATACTGATGCCCCCTCAGTTGCCAGAATGGCACTGGGCCTCATCTGTGTTTCTTCTGGCTCTCTCCCCTCACCTGCCAGGCCCTGCCTGTTTAAATCCAGTGGATGCATTTCCTGTAGGTGCAACATTCAGGACCAGATGCCTCCTCTGTGTGAGTGGAAACGGGTAAGGGGAGAGTGGATGCTAGACAAGGCAGTGCTAAGGGAGGATAGGATAGGCCCTTAGCCTTTCCCCAGGTAAATCTGTTCCCCCACCTCCCTGGCGCTCTCACCTGTCAGCACACCAGCTGTCAAATAAAGCTCAATGATATTGGTCGTAAAAGATGCCAGGATCATCCCAGAGGAAGCCAGCAGCCCACCGATGAGCATCACAGGACGGCAGCCAAACTGGTTCACCATGATGCTGCATACTGGTCCTGGGGGGAAGCAGAGGAGCCAGAGTAGGAGACCAGAAGGGGACAGGACATCTGGAAAAGGGCAGCCCACCCAAGTGGGGCACACAGGAAAGATGAGACACTAATGAGAGAGATCACTGCTTGGCTGATTAGATACACAGCCCTTGGGCCTGGCCAAGTGAGAGAGGCCTTGGCATGGAGACCACTGCTCTACCCAGCCTTCAGTCCCCGTCCCCTGATAACAAGAATGGGCTTGGCGTGAGAGAGGCAGTGCTTCAGCAAAGGGCGAAAGCCCTGTGTTAGCTGGTTGAGAGGTGGGGTGTGACTCCTGAGGTCTCCTGAAGCAGGGGAGATGATGGTCACATGAAACGCAGCACGCTTCTAGAGGAGGAGTGGTGGGACCATTGTCTTCTGCATGTTGGTTCATGATTGGGGCCAGCAAGTATGAAAAGAGACCACAGGACATGGTCTGGGCCTGTAGCGGAGCAGGGGAAGGCACCTTCTGGGGAGAGGGAAACCTATCTAAGCATCACCTGTCCCATAGAGCATTGCCAGCATGATGGAGGAGATCCAGGCTGTGTCACTGTAGCCCACATGGAAATCTTTCATGAGCTCCTTGAAGTAGACACTGACTGCTTTCGGGAAGGCGTAGGAGAAGCCAGTGATCACAAAGCAGCCAAGAAGCACAATCCAGCCCCAGCCACCATCCGGAGGCTTCACGGGAGCTGGGAGCTGCCCTTCCTCTGAGTCAGCTCTCCCCATCGTCTAGTCTGAGAGGGGAAAGACAAGCTGGGAAGAGGAAGGGCAACACAGAGAGGGATCTCCAGGCCCTGCAAGAAGAGAAGAGCACAGAGCACAAATGTTTACTGCAAGGAGGTTTCTCTCCGTTCCCTATTGCCTCCTGGCTCCAAGTGCCTCATCAGGGACCTACATCATCTCTTTGCGCCTTCATCCTGCCAGGCAAGACAGGGCTGCATTAGGGTGCTGGGTCAAGCCATGGGCGGGCAGAGGTGGGAAGCCCCCACCGAGCACAGGGCAGCCCACAGCTCCATAACCCCTGGCCAGACATAGCCAAGCAGGGTCACAGTCTCAGCTGACAGCAGTCAGCTGTGTCTGATGTGGTGAAGCATCAGGGGTGGGAGAGAGGCTGCAGCAACACCCTTGTGCGATATCCAGCCTCACCTGCAGGCCTGTGCAAGGTCAGAGCCGGGCGTGTGAACCTCCCTTGGTTCCCAAGATCAGTCTTCGAGCCTCTCCCCACCTCGCCTGCTCCATCTGGGAGCTTGCCAGGAGCTGCCTGGCTGCAAAGCCTCCCGCAGCAGGGCAGAGGAGATGCATTAGCCCATCGGCTTTCCTCTGGGAGGCCTCTGCACACAACCCTCTCCCTTGCCTTCCCCTCCCTGCTGCAAGGGAGCGCATTTGGGAAATGGGTGAAGGGGGAGAGCACGCAAACCAGTGGTGGTGGTTACTTGCATGCCAGAGAGATTAGGGCTCCGTACCTACACAGAGGGGCCGGAAGAAAGCCTAAGGGGGGGGAGAAGGAGGGAATTAGAGGGGATGTCTTGTGAGTTGCTCTCAGGACTCTTAAGCTGCCCAAGAATTTTGCTCCAACTGGCTGGTGTGGGTTTGTTTTTTTCATTTCTCTGCTAGGTATCAGGTCACTGCCATACCCCTTCCGGCACTGAGCACTACCACTGGCCTCAGTTTCTTGGTCAGCCAGGCTTATTTTCATGCATGTATGCAAAAGTGTCACTGCCTTGGATTATAGATGCTCCCAAGTAGCATCTGAGAGGTGTTAGAAAGCAGGGGGCTCTTTGCATGTCTAAGCTGGGAGTTTGCCACACTGCTTTGCCTGGTTCAGTTTGTCCTAGCACTCTCCTGCTGGCTGTACACCCTTAGCATGGGTTTCCTCCCAGCTCCCTTGGCTGAAGGACTACGAGATGGCAGCAATGTCCACATCACTTAGTGCAGGAGTCATGAAAAATGCCAGCAGTCGCATGCTGACTGGAGACTGCCAAGCAGGCAAGGACACTCCTATGGATGGGGCACACAGAGCTAACTTCATGTCTTTGGGTCTGGGTCTGGGTATCTCGTGCAGGTCCCTCTTCTCTGTGCCCTACAAGCAATGGGAACATCTTCTCCAAGTCTCGTGGCCCTGCTGCTACTTTAGCATTAAACAAGTGCAAAACCTCAGGCAAAGGCACAGGTGGGAAAAGTTGGGTCAGCCCCATAAAGGGCTACTGCATGCAAAGAGGGGTCCTACCCTGTGACACCTCAGAAGCTTGATGGAAGGGAGAGCAACTGGTGTTTCCGAGGCTGTGGGAGGGTCAGCATGCAGAACCAAGACTGGAAATAAGGCCAGGAAATGCTCTGAGAGGGTCTAAAAACATTGGGGTTTTGGGGTTGCAGGAGGAGGGACTTGCAAGACAAGACAAGATAACAAGGCCAGTTTTGGACTGCACAGCGAGGGACGTGGCCATCTGCACCCACAGTGCATTGGCATGAGAAGGCAGGAAGTGTTTTTGGGCCAGTTGGTTTTAATCAGGCTCCTGAGCCAAGATCAACTTGTAGAGGGAAGGGTAGGATGGGAGTCACCAGCCACCCTCAGTGGTCTCCCTCCTTCCTCTCCCTGGAGGACCCTAGCTCCTGAAAACGCAGGAGGAGTTGTTCATCCTAGCACCCAGGTGCCTGCCACTGTCACACATCACCACAGCGGAGCTCCCTAAGCCTCTAGGAACCTGACAACCACAAAAAAGGAGAGCAGGATCTGGCTCTGAGAGCGGGTTAAGGCCGTTCTTCTGGACGACCCTATCCTCTTGGGCTGAACCACAGGAGCCAGGGCACAGCAGGAGCTGCTCTGCATTTCAGCCCATGCAGTCAGATCTTGCTGGCAGAGCTAAGAGGAGCAAAACCAGAAGCACTAACAAATAGCCTAACTAACAGAGCATTCACACAGCATTTTCCCTCCTCCCAGCCATATATGTACACACACAGTACTCTGGCAAACACACACTCACACAGGCACGCGCGTGTTTTCTCATGGGAGAGACCCAAGGCAAATTCAGTGGCACATTCAGGACCATGCAGTGAATCAGTGGCAGAGCTGGGGTTGCGCAGCAGGCTTCCAACTTGATTGTTGTCTTGAAGTTGTCTTTATCCATCCATATTCCCCTACCAGCCACAAGCACAAATCAGACAGGTTGCTTTCAGTCTCTCCCTCCCAACCCAAGTCTCAGGGACTGACAAGTGGCAGAGACATCAGCTGAGAATAGGCTGCTGGAAAGATATTTACAAGCCAAAGAATCGTTGCAAGGACAAAAGGATTCATTATACATGCTCCAAACACCCGCACTTTCCCCTCCGTACTAGTGTCATCCTGGTCACCAGCACCAGTACAGCCTGACTGAACAGTCTCACTCAGCATCTGCCATTGCCTGCCTGCTGCTCCTCTCCCAGCTCCCCTTGACCGACAAGCTAGTTACATCTGTGACCTGCTGCAAAAGTGCAAAGATTTCTACATTAGTGCTAGTCCTCAGTCACTGCACCATCTGATGCACACTGCTACCTCAAATAAAAGCATGTCTGCCACCAAACATACCCAGATCTTTTTATCTAAGCCCCTCTCCCAGCTCTTCTTGTTCTAAGCCCCTCTCCCAGCTCTTCTTGTTCTATTCCTGTACCACAAATCGAATTGTATCAGTCAAGCCATTCTGTTTCATCCCACTTTTCCCATAAACATCCCAGGGTCCTAGCAAGAAAATATTTCTGTGACGTGCCCTTCAGAGATTTCTGTAGCATCACCCATCAATGGTGAATCAACACCACCTGATTTTGAGGAGCGCATTAGACGAACATCCATCAGAACTGGTTGAGTCTAGGGCTGGATGGGTACCTGCAGGATCCATTTGCATAGTGCTCCATAACTGTACAGCACCACATGACAGGGCATCTGCCTGACTGCAGCTAGATGTTGCCTGAAATAGATGGGCTGCACCAGACTAGCTCACCTGTGGTGATCGCGCTAAGGCAAATACCCTATAGCACTGTCAGTGATTTATCCGAGCTCTGAGCAAGGCAGTTTGGAGCCGCCTCGCTCAGTAACATCAGTGCATATGCTGGCTTGTCTGCTCACAGCTGCACACGGTGATTGCACCAGTGTACCCTGCACCTGCCTTTGCATACTCTACGGCTTGCTGTTATTTCCTCCTCAGCTAAGAAGTTTTATTCATAGGTAAAAACACGGCATCTAAGTTCATGCATCCCTAAAGAGGATGTGCACCGACACAGAAGAAGTCACCAAATCAGACCAGGAGGCCAAAGACCCCAACAAATTCAGCCACGGCTGCCAGCCCCCCGATGCGCACAGAGCATGCTCCCACCGCAGAGGAGCTGATACTTGATGATGCCCAGCAAAGTCAAGCTCTGCCCAGCAAGCTGCACTAGTACCAGCATCCAGGAGGGTCCATGTGAGCACTAGGATGGCTCCGGGCACCCCAGCCCGGTAGGGATGGGGACAAGGGTGTTCATTAAATGCTAGGGTCGGGATGCACACCACCAACCTCCCAGCCCAGAAGCAATAACCTGAGAAAGTATTCGTTGCAGAATTAAATCAACACGGGCCTGGAGTGAGCTGTCCTGTTGACAAGCCGTGATGCCAGCAGCGCTCTGGTGCAAGCCTGCCTCCGTACCACTGACCTGCGCGATGAAGCGACGACTGCCTGGCACAGGCCAAGCGCCCGAGGGCCAAGCGGACCCGTCAGCAGCTCTCCCTTCACCCTCCCGGCACACTGGTCCAGGCGGCGCTTCCCAGCTCTGGATGAGTGCACCTGGTTAGACGGCACCGCTGGCTCTTTGCTCCATGGTGGACACACTGTCCGCCAGGCACAGGCTGATGCCTGCAGGAATCCGTCGCCCTTCAAAAGGTTTCTTGTGGCCCCGCTCCTTCCCTGCAGGGCACTCGGAGAGCTAATCCCCCTTGCAACCTGCTAGGCTCAGACTCCGATGCTGTCCCCTGCTGGGGGACACCCCACTCTGGGGAACCCCCCGCCTGCCGCAGCTGCAGCCCAGCCGGCAGGTAGCGCCCCACGGCCTTCCCAGGGCCGGTG